TGCCCTGTCCTGAGCATCAGATTTAAGGATTCAAGGAAACTAAAATTGGCCCATTGAGGGCACTGAGGATGATTGGGGGACTGGAAATTAAGTCCTTTGAAGACAGAATGAAGGAGTTCAATGAGTTTTGCCTTGAGAAATGATGGCTGGGGTCAGGGAGAGAGTATTTACTTACTTATTCACTTACTTACTTGATTTATATGGCCATCCATCTTATGAAAGCATTGTTCAGGTACCTGAAGGGATGTCACAAAGAAGGCCATAATTAGTTTCAAATAGTTTCAGAGGGTAGGACAAGGACAGTTTTGAAAGTTTAGGAAAATCTCCTGAACAATATGAACAATTTGATGGTAGAACCAATTTCCTAGAGAGGAAGTGGGTTCCCTTCACTGGAGGTATTCGAGCAGAAGCTAGACAGTCATCTTTGGGGGATGCTTTAATTTGGATTCCTGCAAAGAACAGAGGGCTGGACACAGTGGCTTAAAGCCACATCCTCCTTTTTGATTCTATGATCCTACATTGCTTGAGCCACTACTGGGAAGCCAGAATAGAAATTTTATAAGCAGTAAATATAATCCACTTTAGTTTGTTATATTTCCTAGCTGAATGTTGAATGATGTCCAAGGGACAACTAAAATTTATGGATGAGAAGTCTTTATTTATTCAAGAAAAATGACTTCAGCATGCTCAGAAGTGGCCTTCAAAAGTAGGTATCTCCTACTGAAATCAGTAACCTTAACTTGTCAAGGATGCATTTCTTTCCTTACTTAATCAATACAACTGTCCTTACTCCCACCAACAAATATGGGTGTGCATACGTGTGTGTGTGTGTGTGTGTGTGTGTGTGTGTGTGTGTGTGTGTGTGTGTGTGTGTGTGTGTGTGTGTGTGTGTGTGTGTGTGTGTGTGTGTGTGTGTGTGTGTGTGTGTGTGTGTGTGTGTGTGTGTGTGTGTGTGTGTGTGTGTGTGTGTGTGTGTGTGTGTGTTTATATCCTACTAGAATATTGGAGGCAATGCAAAATGACCCTCCGAATTCCCATTAAAATTTCATAGACTCCATAACAGTTTAAATGCTCTCCATTGATTGTATTTCATTGATTAATCTGTTAGGTGAACTTCCTTCCAATCCCTTTCAGAAATATTTGTTAAGTTGCAGTTCTCAAGGTAGTTTCAAAAGGCTGATTATTGAGCTTTTTGAGGTTCTGCATAAACAGCAACTGTCCATTGGTGCAGGCAACATTCATGTGTGCTGTCCAAGATTCAGCCTGGTCATGTGAGGGGGATAATATTTGAAAGCGTAGGTCCTGTTTAGATAGATGCTTCTATTTCTGTATGCCCAAACAGATGAGGAATGCCCCTCAGATCTCCATACCCAATGCAGGATAATCTAGGATTTACTGGGCAGGGTTGAAGATACTGGAACAGGAAGGTGTGCAAGCCACACACGCTTAGAACCTTTGTATGTGGACTCAGAACCTCTCCATGAAACTTGCGCTCCCTACTTTCATTGCTGGATGTTGCTGCCCTGCACTTGCTGCTTGTCCACAATAAGGAAATGACTGGATGGCCAAGATATTCTGCTACCTGAGACAAAGGACAAAGGTCTTCCCACACAAATACATGACACATGCACAAGATGACTGGACTGCTAGTTGAACCTCCTTTCAACACTGGCAGTGGGACAACATCCCTCCACTGTCCTTGATAGCGACATACTAAATGGCACCAGGCAGACTGTGTGACACACATAGCTCTCTTCTCCAATTAAGGGAACACCAGGAGAAA